CAATTATTCCCTTATAGTTTCTGTCTCGCATTGGGACAAACTGCGCAGAACTCTTCAGTTTTGGCAGTTTTACAACTTGTTGAAGGGAGCACTGAGTTCGCGCTAATCTCCGCCCAGTTTCACTGGTCTGTGTGTACTGAGTTCCTACTGAGTTGGTCTTTTCCGCCAGTTGGCCGTTTGAAAAGTGTTCATTGTCTAGCCGGAGTTCCGAAGTGTTTGCATAGGCGTCAGTAGTATGTAGATGAAATGCACAAATTTAAACAAGAAACAATATTATTCCGGAAATATACTACTGCAGGACGCTCGGCAGACTGTATTAAGGTCTAAATTAAACCTCCCTACTGACGTTGCCCCTGTCTGAGTAACAAGGGTCGATTAAAATATTTTCCCTGTGTTCGTCTAAAGTTTCATCGTTTGCTTGAATGTAAAATGAGTCGGAAGCGGAATCGTGTACCCCCTGAACAGTGACGCAAGGTCAGCTGTAGTAAGAAGTTGTGGCAATATTTAAAAGAGGAAATGTTGTGCTTAAAAATATAAAAAAGCAAAAAAACTGTGTTTGGATGCATGCCTGTTTCAATGCCTTTAAAAAGTACTTTGCAGGAAGATAGTTCCGGAGGGCACACATATACACTCTATTCATTAGTTTTTAAACTGCGTATGCGACTTGTGTGTCATCGATCTTGTCGCCTAAGCGCAAGACGCACGTATACTGTAAAGACAAGCGGCATAAAGAAGAGGGACAGAACGAAAGTGGGAACCCTATTAAGGTTGCCTTCAGGTGATTGAAGGCCCGCAGTCAGTGTCCGGCAGCAGTTTTCCTTAGCCTGAAGGAGGTACCTAAAACCGATTAGTATTCATCACTTACGTTAGACCCTTCGTAAATATCCATGAGAATGACAGAGGGGGGTCGATAGCTAAGACACTGGCGCGTTGAATTCGCATTTACTGGGAAACACTAACCGACATCACCGCCGGGAGGTGGGGGGGTGGGGGGGTGAAGGGAAAAGAGGGTATCTAGCTGCCAAGCAAAATCTTTTTACCCCCCAAACATCCGGCACCTTCTCGTACAAGTACGGGTTTGCTTGTCACAATCCCACGCTTTTTAAAAGTTACCTGGCAATAAAGCATGGAAGGGACAACTAATATTTCGCTGGAGCGTTTGACAGAGGTGGGAAGAATACAAGTAATTAATTGCGGATGACGTTGCATGAAGAGGTTGAGATTAAGCATACTCCGGGGAGAGGTACAAGTTAAAGCCAGAAACAGGCGTTTCGAAAATTCTCACTGGCTTCACCGAAGAGCTTTTCAATGTTATCAGTTCGATCTTCGGTCTGCAAGCACTCAAGTCTTCGGATATTGATCTGTTTAATTTCGTCAGGATTTAATTTATAAACCCGAAGTGAATATCTAGGGACAAATCCTTTCAAACTCGGCCCGAAAGTTTTTGTGAAGATATAGGCCGAGTTCCATCGTCTACATTGGAATATCTGTGTAATATTCACAAAATGCGAAACAGCAGTCAGTACGAGGTGCAGTAACTAAATCGCAATGTACACTACAATCGTAGTGACTACCTGTTGACAGTTTATGAATAGGACGCGGCTAGATCACTGAGAACTATGCAGTTCGAGTCAGACACTCATATTAACTTCCCGGGTCGCGCCTGAAAAGACGTTTATCGAGAACTCTACCCCAAGTTCGTTAATATTTTCTGAAGAAACGGAAAATCTTGAAGCAAGTGATCAGTTTTTGTTGCTCTTGAGGATCAAAACTCATTTGGCGAACTGATAACTCTGACTTTGCTGCCAATACAGGGCCGTTAGCAATTTCTTACAAGCACACCCGAGATTCAGAGATGCAGGGTCCACACTGATGCTTTTCTCCATCAAGGGCTTGTACAGCTTCCTGTCTGTATTATTTCTCAGTAGTATAAGTTCTTGCCCTGCTCCAAGTCGTCGGGCTGGTTTACTTGGATATAAAACTGCAACCTGGCTGGTGGGGAAACAATTTCGTCCGCATGTGTGCATTCATGGAAACTGCATTGACGCATGGACAGGGACTGCCACGGACTCAGAGCCGTTGGTGTCACGCTTCTGGCAGAATAAACATCAGTACTGGTCGTGGAAAGAATCGAGACGCTTTTATGCCCTTTTGTCTACTGGAATTGCACCGTTGTTTCATCTTTCCTTCTACATATTCTCGTCCTTCAAACTTTTCCGTTTTTCTTTTTCACTTCCTCCTCCAACATCTGAGCTTCCTCTGTCTTTTTCTTTCCGTGGAGCAGGATTATTGAGCCTCAATTCTGTCCCCCTCTCCTCTATTTTTCCATAGTCCAGTCTAAAATAGCCTACCCAGTTGGCTCTCCATCTGGCATCCTTGTTGCACTTAGTAGTCACTGTTGTTTGAACGACTAAGCTAGAGGCGACCATAAATGGATGCTGGCCGCTTGCTTCCTACCCTAAATAACTGCCGCATCATGCAGCATGTGATAGCGGCGATAATTGCAGCATAGGTTGACGGCCTTTGAACGCCAGATGTACATGCCAGCCTTGTATTTCGTCCGGTGGATAGTTGGACTGGTTTAAACTAAGCAGGGGAAGGATGTCACGTGTCTGTTTGGTGTCGAAGCCGCGCCATTATTCGTCCATGGATGCAAAGACTACAGCGCCTGCCAGCAAAACTTGCATGGGAGCTGAGATAAGCTAGTCTGTGAGCAAGAGTTTTCTCGGTACATTATGACGTGGAAACAACCCCTGCAGCAGCTGAGCGTTCGTAATGATGACAGTACATCTTTCCTTTGGTCTGTGGACATATACTTGTATAGGCACATCGAATGCTGGCAGCTGGTCTACCTGACACGATTGCCTGGGAGTCATCTGAGACCTGCGCGTGATGTGGACTTTAGTGAGGGAATCTTGCATATAATTGAACTCATTATGCGGTTCCACACCCATCGTGTTACAATGCGAAGATCAGGCCAAACGATTGGAAGTGAGCTTGAGTGGCGCGTAAGAACAGACACAAAGCAGTCATTTACGCGTACCAAACACGTGCTGGTCGCTTCTTCCACACGAGCCATTTGCCATTATGTAGGTTCTAACATCGGTCAGGGGTGCTATGAGGTTCACATTTGGTTGTCATTGCACTAGCTAGCACCTTTCTATACCACGGCTTAAGGGGGAAATGGTAGCCTCAAGATGCGTCAGACCTTTTGTGGGAACGCGCTTAAAGGAGACACGTCCCCTTAAACTCGAGCCGTGCTTCAGGTTAGGGTCAGGATAGGAGTATGTGGTTCTGGCCGATGTACCATAGTGTGCAAAGGTAGCGCAGCAGGAGGGATCTCAGTCTTTCTTCCCTCGTTCCCCATCAACTGAAGCAACATTGCCACCGGCCTCTGTCGCATGAACACACGCATCCCATTTGTGCGCATGGTAGTCGCCAGCGAGTGTCTGTAGAGGAGGAGCTAAAGACAAACACCGCTGTTACAGGGGAGGAAGCCGACTCGCAATATTGGGTCGTCAAGTGAAAAAATTTAAGGTGAAGCATGTAGTTCAATTTAACAGCTTCCTGTTACGCATTGATATTATATTTTGATATTCTTTTGATTTTGTTAGAAAACTGCCGCACATGTTTGCTCTTTATAAGTTATTTCGGACATTAAAAATATTGAAAATATTTCTTAACTATTATTTTTGAAAGTCAAGTTGGCGAACACGCGTTTTCGGTAATTCTTCGTCAGGCCAATGACAGTTCGACCATCGATTTCGATGATGTCCACCGTGTGCCCCACAGCAGGTTGGAGCAGGGACGGTGACTTGCGCAGGAGTTTATAGTGCCAGTAGACTTGCGCTGCATCTACCTACACTCTCTCCACCTCCCTCGCCCGAGCCCGGTGTCAAGACAGAGTCAAGAAGACCGGAGACGAGGGAGGCCGCAGGTGGATGGCTCGGACGGATCCTCACCTTGGCGTTCCACCACACCCCCTGGTCCACACAACAATAACCAGGATTTCAACCAACACAACAGAGATTTGGAGGATTTGAAGGAATGAAAACGTACAAAATCAACAGTGTTTATAGATGTCTCAAGGGCTATTAAGTCACTAACACTCATCGTCCCCACGCCGCCCGCATGACAAGGTCGGCGGTTGTTAGTCGTCAGAGTTGGGGGAGGGGGGTAAGAGAGTCTTTGAGTGATGTTCTTGGATTGAGTACACGGAGTAGCCATCATTGTGATTAGGGATTTTAGGCGGCATGGCTTCATCACTTGGGGTTGGCGTTGGCCACGGTAGAGAGAGCGCTTATGTCAGAGTTTTCTGACAGCATAACACCGGACTCGATAACCGTATAGCTACTGCCTCGGCCGTTGCTAGTATCCGTTGGCGTAGGCCTTTAGAGAAGCATGTTGGTGTCCGGTAGACAACCTGAAATGCTTTCTTGGCATCGACTCGGTGGTTCGTATCGATTAAATGTGCGAGAATAGAACTCGAAATCGACCGGGTCTCACCTCTGTCTAGCCAGGCGGGCATATGTTCACGCACCCTCTTTACCAGGCGTTTCTTTGTGCGGTCGATGTATCCTGTTCCACAGGCGCAAGTGAATGAATAAATGCACATTGATGTGGCCTCCAACGGTAGCCTGTCTTTACCTCCCAAACGTAGGAGGGGATAGTTTGTGAAGCATACGCGTAAATTCGCCGCAGGGAATGCCCTCGTGATAGCTGTAGTTTAGCGTCGTCAGACTAGTTCGCTCTCTGCGTCTCCTGCAAAAGGCAATCTTATGAATACATCTTTCTTTTCCGCAGTCGCAACAGTGGGCTTTTCGGCGCGTTCCCCAATATTTCGGAGGATAAATTTATCTGGGTATCCGTTCTCCCGAAGTGCGTTCCGCAGCTGTTGAAGTTCTTCTTCAATAGCTTCATGTGAGCAGATGCGTCTCACTCTAGCCGCCAACCCCTAGACTAAATTCCTTTTGATGTTTAGGGGAACAAAACTGTGGAAATTAACGTATTGTCCCGTCCAGGTTTTCTTTCGACACCCTGCGCTGGATAGACCCATCCTCTTGCCTGTGCAGAAGGACATCGAGAAAGGCAAGTTCGTTATCTGCCTCGGTCTCTGCAGTGAACTTTAGCGAGGGGTGCGCACTGTTGAACTTTTGAACAAGCTCCTCGGTATCGGTGGTACCATCCGCCAGGCAGAAGATATCGTCCACGTACCGACCGTAGAAGGCAAGGCCATTAATGGTCTCCTGCAAGCTTGTTTTCTCGACTTTGCCCATAAAAACATTTGCAAGGAACGGTCCAAGCGGTGATCCCATTGCCACACCATCTACCTGCCTGCATAGTTGACCATTGCACAGAAATTGGACATTTGGTGTGCAAAGCGTCAGTAGTTCTTTTAGCGTTTTCACAGGCATGTCTATGCGGTAGTTCGTATCACGAATAACATTACAAAGATAGTTTATTGTTTCTGCCACGGATACGTAGGTAAACAGTGATGATACATCCAGTGATAACATCCTCCGTCCGCCATCGTTCATATTTTTGATAGCTTCGACGAACTCAAAGGAGTCTTTTAAACTTCGAGGGTATAGGTAACTTTGCAATGGCTTTAGTCTTTCCACTAGCCATTTTGCAACGGTACGATAGGGCGAATTCCTCATATCCAAGATTGGACGTAGAGGCAGCCCTTGTTTGTGAATTTTAGGAAGGCCGTACATTCTTGGTATTGTCTATAAACACTGTTGATTTTGTACATTTTCATTCCTTCATGTAATTGCATTGGCCTGACGAAGAATTACCGAAAACGCGTGTTCGCCAACTTGACTTTTCAATTGTAACATGGGAATATTTGCGGAACTATTATTTTTGTTGAAAAGTGAGAAAGTCGGAAATTCGTGCAATTATGAAATGGAATTTATTGTGTGGAAATACAGCATCGAAGACAACTCGGGATATTAATGGTACAGTACGTGACCTATCTCATGAAACCTGGTGACAGAATCTGATATGAGAAGTTACGCATTTTGCTTGCCCGCTGTGCCTCCTTTAAAAAATTTCCTCATCTTGTGCAGAAATTGTGTCCACTTAATTTTCTCAAGCAAAATGTTCATAAATTTGATCGAAAATGGAAGTCACGGTATACTTGGGAAATTTCCTATACTAATACCTGTTCTGGACCTCGGTTGCCCATCTGAGCGGGTTTTCCTTTGAAGGAGCATAATTTCCTCCAGAGAGTTTTAATAAACAGAGGTTGCCGGACTTGAAAATTAATTTTTTGTCCAATGGCAACCGTGGTAATCAACTTCCTGAAACAAGGGCTATTTTAAGAGAACCAGGTATTTTGTCGATTTATAGAATTCAGACTAGCAGATCTGTGCGATTGTGTGCCTTAAAGTGCAGTAATAACGCACACAGGCAATCCTTCATCTAAATGGGCTAAAATTGCTTCGCCGTTTGGAAAATCCTTCGTGTTGTCACAGGAACGACCACCACCGAACTGTCATTTTCAGCTTTGAATATATTAAATATTGCTTTTTGTGCAGTCTAGCTTCTGCACGTACCTAATTCAGAAATGGAACGAGCAAAACGTTACCATCTTCAGCAAAATTTCAGCGTATATATAGCCACTCCGATGCGCATTCACAATTGTAGAACGGCGTCTAAATTTGAGCAAAACAATTCAAATGGCCGCAATATAAATAAAAAGGCATGTTCTTACGCTCGCGGCCGAAAAACTGAAAGAAACGGCCGAAAGTGCCGAATGCTTTCTTGGCCTCATTCTGTAAAAAAATTAAAGTGCTCAGACATCCGTCAACAGAAGGCGGTATCAAAGACATCCTTATAAAGGGAATTTATTAGAGAGAGTTTTCTAATCGATCTAAGGCATATTCGTTGTTGAATTTCGTTGTGAATGTCAGTTTTATTCGACGATGAAAGTTCCTGTTTGCGCGAGTCGTCAAACTTGGCCCACATGACGTTCTGAATGAAAAAGAAAGCCCAAACACTCGCTACTTCGGTAAATGCCTCCAGGAGGTGCCTTTTTTAAAGTTTTAACAGACACATAATACAGAATCTGTCCTTATTAGTGATCGGATGAAAACACTGAAAATAGTGAAACATTCATCAATAATTCAAGGCAGATCTGAAACTCAAAGTAAGTCTGAAAGAACGAAAAGTGCAAATTAATTCAACGGAAGAAAAATTTTTAAACACAAAATTGTATGCTTACGATTACACATGCCAATTCTATGTAAATTATTTGGCACTAGTCGGAACGGCAGCATGTGACCTCATGAAACCTTTTGTTCCTATGATGTTCCTGTCAGCGAATTCAAGCGAGATCTTGCTTTTCATGTTGAACCGCATTTCAATTACTTCAAAAGACTAAAGGATGTCACTAATCCTCGGGAAACTGTTGAGGAATCTATACTCAAAACGTAGGCTGTTGGCCAGGCGCCATACTTGGAATTACACTAATTCTTTAAGGATATTTAAGTGTGAACTTCATTATAACCATATTTTCGACTGCTATTCTATTTTTACTTTCATATTCGCTCATTTTTTTCATGGGAAAACGTTTCCAAAATGTAAAAATTAAGTTTACTAAATTGCAACCATTTTTGCTGTTTTCGGGATTTTGCGCTCTTTTAAAAAACGCAACAGTGCCTTTCTTAGAGTTGTGCTTTCTTAACATGAATATTGGGTCCACGGATTGGTGTCGTTTTGCGAGTGATTAGCAGTCATTTCGTAAATTTCGACACAGTTCATGAGTCAGATGACCAACTGTATATTTTGCTCTAATATTACTATACAACAGACAACATCAAACTGGTTTGAGAAGTTTCATTCTGGACATAAATTAGCGCTGGTGTTTGGTGTTAGAAAGCAAACAATATTGACTCATCTAGTTGAAGTCGGTGGTGTAAAAATTTGTATATGTGGATCTCAAATGAACCGAATGAAAATCAGAAACAATAAGATTTGGAAGCTTGCCTGATGAGAACTGGACCCAATACGAAAGCCGCAATAGTTCAACACAGTGTTCGGACAGGCATAAGCCCCTAAAACACAGTACGAAGTGCAGTAGTCACCAGAAGAAGCTGATGGTGAGTGACTGACGGTCTGGCACAGGTGTGATCCATTATGATTTGATGGCACTTGACTCACCGATCACCAGCTTTTGCTGCTGGACCAGACTATCCGAAAAATTGTAGAAAAACAGCCTAGACTGGTCAACCGATCGAACCCTCCTTTACATTTATACGACAACACTAGACCACACACGACACAACTGACAGTGGCAAAACTACAGGAGTTGGAGTTGAGAGTTCTCCATCATCCACCATACTCACCCACTTACTACTATTTCTTCCGGAATTTGAATAACATCTTCATTGGAAAACAATTCAGTTTCGACAGGGCCGTAAAACAGGCCTTTCAGGATTTCATTGACTCTCATTTGCCATGCATTTACATCGCCGGACTGAACAAGCTACCGCTGAAATGGCAAAAGAGCATCGACAGTATGGGTGCATCCTTTGGTGTATGCATTTATAAAGCATAAATAAGTTTTTTTTCTACAGATTTTATATTCGATGGTCCAATAGATTTTTTCGCTGAATAGCCATTCGGATCAGCGTACTTACCCCTACTTACTCAAATAAATCAAAAGCGGTGAGAGAAACAGGATCGAATGATCTCGTACGGAGTCAAGTCCTCTTATTCAGCTGCTACCGGTTACTACGTATTCATGCGGCGCTGGGCATACGAGGTTAAGAAGGGGAGTCCTAAGAAGTTGATGGTAAGAATGGGACTAGGTCGCAAGGATATGGATTTAGTTTACTTGAGCCCTTGAGTTCCCTCTCTAACTGGGCATCAAAGCCAGCAGAAGAAAGAGGTGGCGGATGCGCAGGCGTGCAATATTTATGAAATTCAGTTGTTAAGCTAACACGCACACACACACACACACCTAGTAAACTTACTCACACATCCATCGCAGATGGTCGTACTTGGTGTGATGACGGCTTGGTCACCCATATGCGTGTCGTTAATGGCCACTCTTTTATCAGTCGTGTTGGCGATTTGTGTGATAACGACTAGGTACCTTGACTCATCAATACTTTCAGTGGAATCAGTGCGGCAGATAAATGCTTTTGTTGGTGTGACCGCGTACCGCAGCACTATGACTAAGGCATCCCGAAAGTCAGGCGGTTGTCGCCCCTAGTGAAGATTTCGGTCTCACCTTACTCAAGTTTGTGGTTAGGTCCCGGTGAGTGAGCTGCGATTCCAAAATTCGCGTCATTATCTCGCAATGCTGATGCCTGTTCGACTGTCTGCGTCCAGAGTAGTCTTCCGATATTTCTCTGACATATTTCAATCGTACCTGAAGCGGCAGCGATTCTTCTGATTTCGTTATCTGGCGCCTGATGGTTGTCTCTGGTCTGTGAGCAACCCCAACATCGGGTGACGATTGACGATGACCTATATTATCTACCATGTTCTTAGCGTATGGGGACATTAACCTTTCTCTGTTCATGTCCCAGATGATGTCTTCGAGTGTTGATCCAGTTGCCGAC